GGCTTCTGTGTTCTGCCTTATCTTCTGCCGTGCTCACAGGGCTTCTGTGTTCTGCCTTATCTACTACCGTGCTCACAGGGTTTCTGTGTTCTGCTATCTGCCTTATCTTCTGCCATGCTCACAGGGCTTCTGTGTTTTGCCTTATCTGCTACCGTGCTCACAGGGTTTGTGTGTTCTGCTATGTGCCCTATTGTTTAGGGTTTGCTCTTGTGTTTCCGCTGCGAACTTTGCTTTAGTTTGTCACTTGTTTCACTCGTGGTTGACAAAAAGACATTCTCTACAATTGGTGCTTCTCAAGTATGGTGTTCTATGACTCACTTGTCAAGTTGGGCATGCGAAATATCTTTGCCCAACTTGAGGGGGAGTGTTGGCGAGTCCTTACTTAATTAGGATTTTGGTTCCTTATTATGTTAGGATTTTGGTTACTTACCCATTTATCTAGTCCTGTTATAATTGAGATTTATTTCCTATTTTATTTAGGGTTAACATATCTTTGTACTTGTATAAATACCTTCATATTGGAGAAGAATAATAATATGAGCGTATCTTAGCATAACTGAATAGTTGCCCTACTTTGTTTGACACCATCAAAGTCTCAGTGTCCCTCAAATACATCAACACTTTCTGAAGAATCTCAATCTCACAATCTGTTGCCCTCCATATTATCTCCTTTCAAAAATAAAATAAAATAACCAGCATAAAATTAATTACCCAAAAAAAGAAGGAGAAATGTGCATATATAGGAGTAAAAGGAAGCTTTAGAAAAACAGAAGAGTCCTGTAAAGTGAGATATTTGGATTGATGAGGAGGAGAGAGGGGCAGTGAAGATGATAATGAGTTGGGTGGTGGTGGAGCTGATGAGTCCAATTCATAGAAATCTCTCACCATTTGCGTAAGTTCTTCTTCTGTTAAGCCGCCCATGATTTTCCTCTGTAAAATTTAATCTTGGCTTCCTTGTAGGCTAAGGAGAATAGTTGTTTTTACGAGCAAGTTTCAGAATTATGAGGTAACTTCATTTTTGTTTCCTTTGCCTTGTTTGGTATTGCCTAGGAGCTTGACTTTTAGCCATTGACATAGTGTTGTCATCAAGAAAGTTATCACATTTTTCTTGAATTAGTTTTTATGTGAACCCAATGTTTGTTTTACATTACAAATTGCATCGCAATTATGTAAGTTATAACGTAAGCATTGATGCGTTGTTGCATAAGCTATTTGGGAATAGAAATATTATAACTCAAAAAGATAAGACATAAATAATTAACTGATAAACAGATTCAACTAAATACCTGAGCATACATAAGAATTTCCGAAATTACAAAATATTCAATTTCCGAAATTGCCCAAAATCATACAACCGCAAACTAAAAAAATGGAAAAAAGAAGAGAATAAACACGTATCAACTAGAGACCTCAAGTCACAATATAGAGGAAAGGCAACACCTATCGATTAGAAACATCGAAGTATATGACCTTCAATTTCATGGATTTGTGTCAATATTTAGGTAAATTTGAGGTTTATGGTTTGTTTTTCAGAAGCAACACCTATCAACGTCATTTTAGACATTTTTTTCTTCTTTCAAAAAGAGATAAATTCCACAACCCGCGTCAATGCAATAGCACGGCGGCGATATAGCTTACACGACGCTATTTGACACTTCTGCGAAGATAGTCCGCTATGTCTGAAAAAGAATTCTGAGCTCGCGACAAATCTGCTATTTAAAACACTCTTACCCAGCATTTTAATGCTCTTTTATTTCCAATTTCATACTTATTTGAAATTACAACGAACTACACAACACTTTCTTTTGTTAATACAATTGATAGTTTAAACAACTTTAAATTAATCTAATTTACGAAAATAGGGACTCAAACTAAGATGCAAGAAGGCGGACTTACTGGCCTAACTCATACCTGCGATTGACACAATAATTTAAACACATCTTCTATACAAGCTTTCAACTTTGTTCTATACAGAAATAGCATATACCTGAAAACAAAGAAAAAACACTTTTTATTTTCAACATTATCTTAGGGAGCTCATTTTTCTCCCAATTTAGCACGAGTTTCAGAATAATTGTTTGTATAAGACTAGCAAAGATGATACAGAGGAATGCGTTACACAACAAAATACAGATTGGTGAAAAAATTAGTGGTACGGTTTGGTACACAACATCTCTAGATGGCCTGATGAAGTTGAATGGAAGTTTTCCTAATGCCCAGCAGAATCTTCTTAAGACTTCATGAGAATCTATAAAATGATTTCCCACAAATGAAGAATGAGATATTAAGGCAGCCGGATGCAGCTTTCACACAGTGAAAAACTTGGACGTATCAAACACTAACAAGTTACAACAGTTCAGGATTGAGATCTCTCCCGCATTTTGGCTCTGGCAAAAAATACTCCAGCCACAAGACCTACCAAATTGCAAATTTTCATGGTTAATGCTACAAAACTCTACTGCTTTTGCAAAGTTATAAAGTAGTACATCACATTCTGAAGCCAGTCAAGTTGAGAGAACTTACCAAAGAAAATGCTAGCGGAGTTCTCTAAACTGGTTTCCAAGTTTTATTACATAACTGGCCATTCCTAGTGTATATTTTCCAGCTTTGGGAAGTGTCAGGCTACATCAACCACAGCTGTAAGATATCAAGCTGGCCAGATTATGCTATGTAACAAAAGAAATCAAGCAGGCGTCATTACCATCCAGAAGGTTGGTAACCTCAAAAGTGGTCTGCCATTTTAATTCAACCTTCATTAGATTCAATAGGATAAAAGAAAACAAAAATTTATAAGAAAAACAAATGTAAAAACTTTTGTTCTTCCTGTTTTTCTGTTGACAAGTAGACATCCCACATGGTAATTCTAGACCTCAGTCATAGCTAAATGGGCTTGCATACACATTATTAGCTAGTCATTGCAGTTTCCGGCAGAAAACAATAACAAAATAAAACCAACGATGACAAAACAAACTTTGGAGTACTTCATGCATATTTTTAAATTACAATACCATATGTTAGAGACAGGGCCGGCCCTTGATCAGGGCAACTAGGGCCATCACCCGGGGCCCACAATTGATTGGGGCACACAAAAAATTATTAGTCCATATATATATATATATATGCATATGAAAAAAATAAAATAAAAAGTAAAAGTAAAAGTGCATATGTGATATTAGTTGAGAGTTTTACTTGGTATTATAGAACAATAATAAAAAAGAAGGATGCCAACGGATCTAGAAGAAAAAGAAGTCAACATCCTAATTGTTTTCCCAAGAAGCAAAACCTCTTCGTCTGCAGCTTTGCCTTGAAATCGATTTATAATTCTAATTTTCTCTGAAACTAAGTGTGGAAGGAACAAAGCCATACTTTGAGTTGAAAGCTGATTATTCTCTCTGAAATTGGGATATGTTTCTAAATGTAATGGTTGCTTATTGGATATTACTAACTATATCTGTGACTGTGGTATCTGCTGAAAGAAGTTTTGCTAAATCAAAATTATTAAAATCTTATTTGGGGACCACCATGGCTCAAGATAGACTAAATGGATTAGCTATATTATGCATTGAAAGAGATATGTTGGAAAACATTAAATATGATAATATAATTGATGATTTTGCTTCTAAAACTACAACAAGAAGACATTTGAAATGATCTTTTTGTGATTAGAATTTCATTGCTATTTTTATTTTGTAGGTGCATATGAAGGTGAAGCATAGGGACATGCAAGTTAATTTGTTGTTGATTGTAATGTTTTCAATCGGGTACTCTTTTTCCTTCATTTGAGGTTTTGCTCCCATTGGGTTTTCCTCAAACAATGTTTTAATGAGGCCCAAAGTGTTCTATATTATCGGTTGTAAACTCTTATAATTTTAATAAAATTTATTATTTGATTAAAAAAAAATGTAATTATATTTATTTATTTGTTTATAAAGGGCACATTCTTAAACTTTGGCCTTGTGTAACATCCCACATCAACCAACAAAGAGGGTGTGATGTGCCTTATATGTATATGCTCGCCTCCATCTAGCACGAGGCCTTTTAGGAGCTCACTGGCTTCGGAGTCATGGGAACTTCAAAGTTAAGCGAATTGGGATTAGAGCAATCTCAGGATGGGTGACCCACTAGGAAGTTGCTCGTGAATTCCCAGAAACAAAACCGTGAGGGCTGAGAGGGGGGCCCAAAGCAAACAATATCGTGCTACGACGGAGCGATCCGGGACGTGACAATTTGGTATGAGAGCCACTCTGCCATGTGGTGCGAGTGTGCCGATGAGGACGTCGGGCCCCTAAGGGGGGTGGATTGTAACATCCCACATCGACCAACGGAGAGGGGGTGATGTGCCTTACATGTACATGCTCACCTCCATCTAGCACGAGGCCTTTTGGGAGCTCATTAGCTTCGGAGTCATGGTCACTCCGAAGTTAAGCGAGTTGGGGCTAGAGCAATCCGAGGATGGGTGACCCACTGGGAAGTTGCTCGTGAGTTCCCCGAAACAAAACCGTGAGGGCAGAGAGGACAGCCCAAAGTGGACAATATCGTGCTACGGCAGAGCGATTCGGGACGTGACACCCTGGGCCTTAAATCATCCAAGGCTGGCCTTAGTTAGAGACGGTGTCCATCTAAAATATTTTAGGAAGGGAACAAGCAGGAAAGGAAGAATACAGAATAGTTGGAACCTAATCGAACGACATTGTAAAGTGGTAGTTGCAAGCTTTCTGTTTACACCTATCATATAGATTCTAATTCAATCTTCAATATGACAAATTCTAAAGAAGATGTGTGTGTGTGTGTGTGTGTCTATGCAAGTTATTCCTTTTTCACTAGCTGATTTGCACTTTCCTTTGTATTGTAGGAGTTTCCATACTTCTTGTTAAGAAATTGATACGATCCAAGATGTTAGGGATTGATTTGATTATGCAATCCCTTGACTTCAGCAATAGAATTACAAGACTGTAGGAATAAGTATCTGATTTGATTTGTATATATATTTACCTTTCTTGTACACCTAAATGATAGGATCACATCTGTATAAATTGCAATATCACACTAATGAAAACTTATTCTACCAAAGCAGAGCTTGAAAACCCTAGCTCTTTGCTTTCGCCATTGATCCTCGCCTTTACTACTGCGAGTGTTTCTTTCCTTTTTCTTCATCTTGTTTCGTTATTCCTACACCATGGGTAACGATCAAGACTCTTCCAAGGATGAAAGCAAGCAAGATAACTCCATTCCTTACTTCATTCATCATTCAGATCACCCTTCATCATTTAGACCACCCTCGGATGGTCATCATTAGCAAACCTCTCAATGGAGACAACTATGCGACCTGGTGTCGCTCAATGGAGATCTCTCTAAGTGCAAAGAACAAATTAGGTTTTGTCGACGGCACCGTTGAAACCCCTTCAGCGAAGAACAACCCTAATGTATTCTCTCTTTGGCGGCGGTGCAACGACATGATCCTATCATGGATCCTCAATTCTCTTACTTCAGATATTGTCGACAACGTCATCTATTCCACTACAACGTATGAGATCTGGCAGGATCTCAAAGAGCGTTTCTCTCATGGCAATGCGCCAAGAATTTTCCAGCTCCAGCGTGAGATTTCCTCTCTCACCCAAGGCCAGATGTCTGTCGCCAACTATTATACAAAAATAAAGACTCTATGGGATGAACTTGCTTCCTATAGTGACTTACCAGCATGCTCATATGGTTCTATGAAGAAACATAGCTAACAGGAGGAGAGAAATGCACTTATGCAATTCCTCATGGGACTCAATGAGTCCTTTAATGCAGTGCGAGGACAAATTCTGCTCATGCAACCGTTACCGTCCGTTCGCAAGGCATATTCTTTGATTTCTCAAGAAGAGAAGCAACGAGAATTGGGAACGTCTCATGCATCTACTGAACCTGCTGCCGTGGCGGTTCATCACAAACCACAGTCATCCAACCAGGGACGCAAACCGCTTCATTGCTCTTACTGCAACTTTGATCACCACACTAGAGACACCTGCTGGAAGTTGAACGGCTACCCTCCGGGACATCATTTGCACAAGTCCAATAAGTCTGGTGGTGGACGTAATAAGCGCAACGACGGCTCCTCGTTAGCACATCATGTCAATGCGCATCCTTTTGTCCCAGAGATCCAAACTGCCATGCCCAACCTTTCAGAAAGCCAATGTCGGCAAGTTTACACCATGTTGAATGAACAACAAACTCCTTAAGCCAATGCGGCAGGTTCATCATCAAGTTTGTTAAAAACCTCCTTGCCTTTTGAGTCGGTGGATAATTGACAGTGGGGCTACCGATCATATCACCTCATCCCCATCTTCTCTTACCAGCACCACAGCTTGTTCTTCCATGCCACTTGTGTTACTTCCTAGTGGTGAAAAGGCACCTATATCATCTACTGGGAGTGTTTTTTTGACCTTTCATATTTCTTTGAGAGATGTTTCATTTGTACCATATTTTAAAGTGAATTTATTATCTGTAAGCAGGATTACAAAGGAATTACAGTGCTCTATAATTTGTTTCCCTTCTTGATGTATTTTACAGGACTTGGCTACAAAGACGACAATTGGGCTGGGTAAGCAACGTGGAGGCCTCTATTACCTTGTGGCGTTGACTTTTGCAAACTCATCTTTGTTCCCTAGCCCAACCTGCAACCTTGTAACCAACTCCACTGATTTATGGCACCAGCGACTCAGCCACCTTTCTCCATCTCGTTTACAATTCATGTCAAAAAATTTGTTAGATTTCCCTTTTCATTTGAATAAAGATTGTGATGTTTGCCCTTTAGCCAAACAAACTCGAAAGCCATTTGGAATCAGTTCAATCAAAACAACAAAACCTTTCTCTCTCATACATTGCGACATTTGGGGGCCACACAAAATAGCTTCACTTTCATGTGCTCGTTATTTTTTAACAGTGGTGGATGATTATAGTCGTTTTACATGGCTTTTCCTTATGAATCATAAAAGTGAAACACAAAACCTCCTCAAGTCTTTTTTCACTTTCGTGCAAACACAATTCCATACACAAGTACAATAAATTCGTGTTGATAATAGGGGAGAGTTTTTTTCCATGCATGAATTTTTTAGGGACAATGGGATCATTTACCAACACTCTTGCGTTTACACACCACAACAAAATGGTGTTGTGGAACGTAAACATCGTCACATACTTGAGGTTGCTGAGCCTTACACTTCTAAGCTCATCTCCCACTTCATTTTTGGGGAGAATGTGTGCAAACAGCCACCTATTTGATTAATAGGCTTCCCACTCCCATCATTTCCCACAAAACACCATATGAGCTAATGTATGCCAAACCTCCATCTTATACACATCTCAAGGTTTTTCGTTGCCTTGCATATGCCACATCCATCCACCCTTCATAACAATTTGATCTTAGAGCCACCAAAACAATTTTTCTTGGTTACCTCATTGGACAAAAAGCTTACAAACTCTACAATCTCTCCACCCATAAAATTTTCACAAGCTGAGATGTTGTTTTCCATGAGAACATTTTTCCTTTTCAAAATACATCTTCACCTCCACTAG